CCTCCTCCTCCTCCTTCTTCTTCTTCTTCTTCTGATGATGATGATGATGATGATAAAGACGACGACAACAACAGGTAATTGACCAGTACCGGGGCAGACTGCGGTCAGTGGCCGGTCTGTGGACACAGATGACCCAGCTAGGCTTCTGTGACGTCAGCATCCCCAAGAGCACGGAGGACATGACCAGGCGGCTGGAGGGTGCCGTGGCTGAACTCATGGAGAAGGAGGTCAAGGTCGAGAGGGCAAGACAGTGTGTCCTCAACCTTGGCCTGGTTTTAGGTCAGTGGAGATAGTGAGATTATAATTACATTATATTAATTAATTTTTTGTCTTCTACTAACTGTTATAGACGGCGAGAGATCTTATCAGTATGTTAGTGATTCCCAGGAAGTTGAGGTTGTCTCAGAATGCTCTCATGTCCGCTGGGGTAATAGTGTAGAATTTAGATTTTTTGTTTTGTTTGTTTTTGTAAAGTGTTTTACGGCGCTCGCAACTGCATATGGTCATATGAGCGCGCGGGACACACCTAATATTTTCAGTTGGTAGGAAATTTGAATTTTGCCCGGGTGGCGCCGAAGCTTACTCTTATCGATTTTAGATCACCAAGGGATCTTTAACGTGCCCCAATTGCACACGGGCCCTCCGAGATTTTTTGCCCTTGTCCGAGAAGGCTAGGTGTAGATCTTTCCTACCAGAAGATCAGGAGTGTGGCAGGAAGACAGCAGTAAGGAGGAGCCAAGGAGTAGCAGTAGAAAGGCTGCAGAAAGAGTCAGGGGCCCAGAGGAGGGGGCAAAGGAGGTGAGGGGGTGGGGGCAGAAAGTGGAAATGAAAGCAGACAACAGAACATTACTAGAGATCAGGAAAGGAGGTGAAAGGAGACAATTTTAGAGAAGAAAATGTTTTCAGTCGCTTCCCGGATTCGAACCCGGGACCTTTGAATGAGAGGCCAACACCTTAACCTCTAGGCCACGAGAGCCCCCTAATTTAGATTGCGAAGCAAGATCCGATCAATGAGTTGAAGAGGGGAGGTCAATGTTCCAACTTCCAACACTATATGTACATGTACCCCTCAACCAACATCTCAACCGACTTGGAGTAAAGCAGTCTGTTGCCTGCCCACTGTGTGACTGCCCCTCATATTAACGTCTCTAATCAGTGGCACTATATAATAATAATAATAA